ACCCCGGGGGGGGGGAGGGGAAAGGGTGGGCGAGATCGCGCGACCGGTGGCCCGAAGGCGGGGGGGGGGGGGCGCGCACGGACAGGCCCGCGGTGCGCGCACTCGCACCCACACACACACGCACACACGCCGGGCGCCGGGGGGCCGTACAGCGCCCGGGCCGATCGTCAGGATCACGAGACAGTGCGCGGGCCGTGTGACGGTATCACACCCGCCCCGGCCCAGTCCGGTGGTCCCTGTTCCGCTATTCCGCGGACCACTCCTCCTTCGCCCCTCTGGGCGGGGGGGGGGGCGCGGCCGCAGGCCGAGGTGTGCGCGGGCGTCCCGGCCAAATAGCCGCTCCTCTCCCCCCGGGGCGGGAGGGGCGCGGTGTTCACTGGGGGCCCCGGGCGTGTCGCGCGCGGCCTGGCTCGCTTGTAAGCAGGCGCCCGGTGTGCTCAGTCTGACGACTGGGGCGCCGGCGCCGGCGCGCACGCCGTGGGACCCCGTGGAGATCTCGCCCCGGCCGCGCCCCTCCCCCTCCGGCCGCCGGGCAAGATCGCCGGCGCATGTGCGACTGTGCCACTGTGTGCGTGTGCGTGTCCGTGTGCGGGTCGGCCGGCAGGAGTTGCGGGCCGGTGCGCCGCGGCGGGGCCACTTTTGGGCTGCCGCCCAGAGCCGGGTCGGCCCGCCGCACCCGGGCCACTCTCGCTCCTCTCGCTCCCCCCCCCCCTCGTCCCTGCCCCTCTGCCTTCGTCCATCACCGCCCCTCCCTTTTTCTATTCCTCCCCTTGCCCTTCCAATGCTCGGGGGACATCTTGTCAATCCGAACCCGGTCGTACACCCGGTGACCCCGCGTGACGCCGGATCCGTGGCGCCGGATGTGGCCGCGGCGGCCCTGGTCGGCCTGAGCGCGGCCGGCCGGGCGCCCGGGTCCGCGGCCCTGACCGACGCCTCGGGCATCGTCACCGCCACCGAAGTCTTCGGTGCGACCTACAGCGCCCCTTGCTGGGGCTCCCTTCCTTGCCTGCCTCTCTCCCCCGTCCCTGTCACCGGCGCATGTGCTGTGCCTTGTTCGCATGCGCGGTCCTTCAGCCTAACGCTCTGCCACTTGCCCCGCGCTCCGTCTTCTCCCACCATCCTCGCCCCTGCTCTGCCGGGGCGTGGCAGAGTTCATCCGTGACATCAAGGCACGTTCCGTGTGACTCTCGAGCTCTCCCCATCCCACCGCCCTCCCCACCCCACCGCCTTCCTGGCTGCCCCTCCATCGCGCTAACTCGTCCCGCCCCGCGCCCCGCGCCCCGTCCCTCCCTCGGCCTCGCGGCGTCCCCCGGCCGTGTGCCGCACAGGACCCGGAGCACCCCTTCACCCTGGAGCAGCTACGCATCGTCCGGCCGGAGAATGTCTACGTGCTGGACCGCGGGGTAGCGTCCGGCGGGCCGGCCCGGGCAGACGGCACCCCGGCCCCGGCGTCCGAGGTGGTCCGCTCCGGCGGCCCCGGCGACGACGGGCATTGCTACATCCGGGTGGAGTTCACGCCGACCGTGCCGCACTGCTCGCTGGCCACGCTGATTGGGCTGTGCCTGCGCAAGCGCCTGGAGCGCTCCCTCGGCCGGCCGATCAAGCTCGACATCAATGTCACCCCCGGCTCGCACCAGACCGAGCACAACATCAACAAGCAGATCAACGACAAGGAGCGCGTGGCCGCGGCCTTCGAGAACCCCTCCCTGCATCCGATTGTCGAAGACTGCATCCGGGACTCGGACTACTGAGTCGCGCGCGGCAGGGCGGCGGGGCCCGGGCCCGGGCCCGGCAGGGGCTGGCCATCGTGCCGTGCATGTGTCGTCTGCCGGCGGCACCGGCCGGCTCCGCCGCACCGGCCCGGCCCCCTCCCACATGCATGCACGCGTGCATGCATTCGCGAGCACCGCCACCCCAACACACCTTCATAGACACGCTTCTGCCAGCGTCCCCTCCTTCCGATGTCTCGTTTGGCGGGGTGGGGTGGGGGGCGGGGGGGG